ACTCACACACCCACACCCACACCCACCCACCCACACCCACCCACACCCACACCCACACCCACACCCTCTTTTTTTCTGCACATGATAATACAATTTCGAAACTAATTGTGTAAAATATCTTCATTTCTTTTAAAAATTAAAATATATAATCATCAAACGGAATTCACAGCCGAACTACGTCATTGGCATTAAGATAATAATAATTTTTGTTACAGTTAATGTAATGTACGAATTACTTGTTGTTCATCATTAATACATTCATATACATTTTAATCTTCAATTGATGGTAGGAACTGTTGATATAAACAAGTAGAACCGATGAAACAGAATATGTGATTCCTTAAAATAAAAAAAAAAGATTTCATTTAATTCAAAGGAAATATATTAAAATAAAAACAGCATACCATATGACAACATACCTTACATGTGAGGGTGTGTTCGTCTACTCGGTACATCTACTGAACATGCGAGAGAGAGAGAAAAAGAAAAAAGAAATAGGTCAAGAGGGGAATTTTCTTTTTTCATTCTCTCGTCCATAAGTCATTGTTCATGTTATCACTGATGATCAATGATAACATTTCATAATTAATCCATATATCAATTAAGCTTTATCCATACACATCCATTGAGATATTTGTGATTGAATATATCACAATGTATGTGTGTGCCCTGATTATAGCTTAATAAGATTCATCTTTTAATTACTCTCTCGTGACAAAGAAACAAAGTAATTTTTCTCCCAATAATCATCATCGGGGTATAAATATGAATGATTTTACATAGAAAATCATTCAATTTATTGAATCATAAACTAATCCTTTCCTTTTATGTTTTACGTTAAAATCAACGCTACAATATGGAACAATTCAACGTCGAACAAAGCCATAAAATAAAATGTAGGTATAAGTTTGAAATTTTTTTTTCTTTTTGTTTTATTCTTTTGGATCATATGGAGGGTGGTAAGTCTTCCTGTGATCTTTTTATTAATGTTTTTTTTTCTTTTAGGGAATAAATAACGAGAAAAAGATAACAGTCGGGTAAGCCATATTCTACTGTTTCATTATATAACATAATTTAATTTTTTTTTTCTTTTCCTTTTAGTCTATCATCGCTTCGCGTCATCCAGAACAACATCGTCGTTCAACTTCAGAACACGTGAGTAATTTTTTTTTTGAGATGAGAATAGGGGAGAGAGGGAAAATTGAGATTGAGGAGGGTTTGAGTGAGACTCAGAAAAGTGAGTGTTAGTAGCGTGTGGGTGAGTTATGTCCATTGAGGTTAGACCCTGTTCTCTATCAGGCCTTCCGGACTTAGGCCTAAAACACCGGCCAGGAACTGTCTTGGTGTCCGTGGCACACGACCGCCCCCCCCCCCCAGACTCATTGACATATTTCTCGAGTGGGAGAGATATGAATGATATGAGTCTGTCCCGGGCGTACATGAGCGTTACGCTCGCCACGGCTCCACCAGGATGGTTCCTGGTCGCGCGCGCACGAATAGAATAGACATTCTTTTCATCAATAGAACGCGATTTATTTGAGAGCGAGGAAAGAAAAATATAATCCATCGTAATGAGTTTATTCGATTGAAAATCGTTGAACACGATGATTGTCATGATCGACGACATAGAGATTGCCATCACGATCGAAGGACAGACCAAGGGGGAAGTTGAACTGATTTGCTCCTTCTCCCCTACCATTTCCACCCACAATGACAGTGCCTTGTTTCGCTCCTTTAAGCCAACGCATCACTCGATGATTCCACGAGTCTGCCACATAGAGGGTACCCAACGTATCGACGAACAGTACTCTAGGATCTGACAATTGTGTCAGAGCATTCCCTTTGCCTTGACCTCCAGCGACGACAATTCCTTCTTTTGCACCTTTTTTCCATTTCATTACACGATGATTCCAGTTGTCTGACACATAGACCGTCTGTTGTTGACCGACAAAGATGTGTGTCGGCCAGTTGAGTTGATTGAGACCAGCACCTTTACCATTGCCACCAGCCACAATAGTTCCATTGTTGTCTTCTATTTGATATCGTCTTACTTCATCTTTTCCGCCGTCAGAGATGTAGAGATATCTCTGATCATCCATGGCCAATCCCCAACAACCGATGTTGTCCATGAGGATTTCTCCTTGAGTTGTACCACTACGACGAGACCATCGTACGACTCGTCGATTCATCGCATCACAAATAATGAGACTATCTGTCTCGTTGTCGATCAACACATCAATTGGCCAATGCAATTGATTCAATCGGTTTCCTGGGCCATTGCCACCAGTTACTACTTGTCCATTCGTGTCACCCATCTTCCATTGAATGATACGATCATTGCCCCAGTCAGCGATGATCATCGTTTGATTATCATCAACGAAGAGCCCATAAGGCCAGTAGAGTTGATTGGTGGCACTGCCTTTTCCATGGCCTCCAGCAACGGTCACCCCATTCTGTTTCCATCGGGCACTGGCTGGAATATTGGGAATTACTACAATGAACGAAAAAGAAAAGAGATCATCGTTATCGAAGAGATCCCGCTCTCTCACGCAGGGGGAAGAGCTATTAAGGAGATATATGCGCCTTCTTCGAAGGGAATTTGGTAAAATTATCGAGAATGTTCTTTCCTCAGATAAATATTAAGAAGTCTTTTCCTAGTTCCCTATGAGAAAAAAAGGATTTCGTAGTGATTCTTACATCTACATCACTTTTAGTTCTTGCCAAGATCTTTTTGACTCGAAAAACGACACCTGAAGATTGCTGTCAGGAGGTCCTCGAAGAAAGAGTAATGCTAATTCCACGTAAGTTTTTTATAGAAAAACATAGGGATCTGAGGATTTTATTCGAAATTGCAAGAATTCAGAATTTTTTTGCAGAATGATCATTCATATGAATATCAGAGAAGATTCTATCTGCATCTTGTGAGAACAAATGTCAAATCGTTGAACAACAAATGTCAAGCTTAATCCCTATATTTTTTAGGAAAACTTAAGGATACATGATTTTCTGCATGGTGAATGTAGATCTGCTGAAGAATCTCCTAACTATTTGCATAGAGGATGCCGGTGAAATTTTATAAGACTTTTGGCAAATTATGTCAAGCTATTCGAAGGACGACTCTGATAGAGTCTTAGCAAGATCATCAGAAGGCTTGAATACAAGCAAAACTGAGCAAAGTTGAGAGAGTTCTACGCGGATCTATGTAATTTGAGACCTTCTACTTTTGAAATGCTGAAAAGATGGATGCCAATCCTAACGAAGCTCTCCAGTGAAAAACATTGGGATCTATGGGTTTTATGGGTTTTGGAAAGGACTCTGGTAATGGAATAGCCAGAAAGTGTTCTAAAATGCTATTATTAACTTTTGATGAAAACCATCTTCAAACCATTGTATTAGGGTTCTAGAAGAGAATCTTAATGACTAAATAAGATACTCTGCCAAAAATGTAAAAATAATGAGTATCTTCTATGAGGATCATGGTATAACCCTGATGTAGTGCTTGTTCTGAGAAGCCTTCTTTGAGCTCCCATGTCATGGATATGTTAGCAAGGATCTGAAGAGTAAGTATTTTGATGTAGATTTAATTATGTTGAAAAACTTATGTGTATTTAAGAGTGTTTTGGCAGAAGTTCAGTCTTCTAAAATCCGACTGGAATTGAAGTTAAATCGGAGTTGGAGTAGGATTTTAGAAAGAAAGGAGTAGAGTGATACGGGGTTGGAGCGGAACACACTGCCGTTGAAATTGATGTGGAGTTTTAGAAAATGGGACTGAAGTGGTATGATGGAAAAAGAAAGAAAAGAAAAATGTCGAAAAAAAATATCGAAAAGAAGAATATCGAAGGGAGAAATATCGAACAGTGAAACGTCGAAAGAAAAATCGTCGAATAGAAAAATATAGAATGAAAAAGATCGAAAAAGAAAAACGTCGAAAAAAAACATCGAAAAGGAAAAAATGTTGGTTTTCATTATAATAATTTACAGCATTGATAAAACATTTATTGAGCAAAGAAAAGTAATAGAAAAATCCATAACTAGCATCTAGAGAAAATTTCAGTAAAAATAATGTTATGATGATTCAGTTATCTTTTGATGCAAGATTATTTAGCAACAACGTAAGATAACGAATCAAAGAGTTCATTAGCATCAATATCACCCTTTTCGTAACCTGAGTGTAAAGTAATTTTTAACGGTTTTGTATAAGGTTTAGGTTCATAAGAAATTTGAGAATCATGAATCACATCTGTTTGAAGATGTCTTGCTGTATTCAATGAACGAACTTTAAAAAAAAGCTACTTCAGTCAAAGAAAAAGAAATACTCGACTACCTATTTCTCTCTGTGACAGAAGAATAGTAATTGCTAATGACTTAAAACAGAATCTTGGCGATTTTTCGTCGAATATTTTCGGTGTCGAGTTAGTTTCTTTCATATCGCGTACTTTTACGATTTGTTTGAACATTTGAATCGCAAGGTGTTCCGGTTAAGGTGAATTAAAATGATTACCATTAGTTCTTACTACAACGTCATTTATGTCTGTATGTGAAGTCACAGTACCAAGCGATTTTTCACATTGATAGTGTTTTGTTGTACTTGTGGTTTTATTAAGTTTACATATGGGATTGTCCATCGTCAACAATGCGTTTCTTTTTTATGAAAAAAGAAATGATATCAGATTAGAAAGGGTAGTTATATTATCTAAAATAAGGACAACCAACTGGCGCACGTTCGATTACTATCCCATACGTAAATAAAATGTTTCAAAAAAAAAGGATTTATTTCAGCTCAGTAAGCATGTTCGGTACGTCATGTGTGACAATGGATGACAGAACGAGTCAAGCAAAAAAAGAACCTTTCAATCCTCGAATTCAAGCAACCTCTAACAATTTATATCTTCTCCATCTATCCATTTTTCACACTCAATATTTTTCTTTTCGACATTTTTCATTCGATATTTTTTCTTTTCGATCTTTTTCTATTCGACATTTCTTTTTCGATATTTTTCCTTTCGACATTTTTCTTTTCGACATTTTTCTTTTTTTTTTCTTCGACATTTTTCTTTTCGACGTTTTTCCTTTCTGTCTTTTTCCATCCATTCACTGAAGTTATGTGGAGTTGCCCATCTCTGCTTAGTACACAAATGTCGATCCTAATCAGTATCCATGATGCCTTCTCTGCAATATTTGAAATTACTACAATGAACAAAAAAAGAAAAGAGATTGTTGCTATCGAAAAGATTCCCTCTCTCATGTGGGAAAAAGTGCTATGAAGGTGACATTCGTCTTCTTCGAAGGAAATTTGGTAAAACTTTCGAGAATGTTCTTTTCTCAGAGAAAATTTCAGAAGCTTTTTCTTAGTTTCCTATGAGAAAAAAGGATTTCTTAACGATTCTTACATCTACGTCATCTTTAGTACTTATATCAATCAGGTAAAAAAAAACCAGACATAAGATCTTGTGGATCAGATGAAATCGTATGAAAAACGTACGAAAAATTGCAATCTTAGAAATCTTACATCATATCATCTATAAGATTATAGGAAATCTCATGCGATTGTAAGATCTTTCAAGAATCCTACCCAGTTCAAAAACAGATCATATCAGGTCTTATAAGATCTTATGCATATACGATTTTTTATAGGATCTTGCTACAAGATCCGACAAAATTGTATGGATTTATTTTCTTAAAGATTTTGTCAGATTCAGAGGAAAAAATGCCATTGGAAATCTTATATGATTCTGAGATTAAGAAACATATAAGAACAGAGTAAAGGACTCTGATCTGATCTTATTCGACCAAACAGGATTCATAAACAAAAGAAACTTACAGCATTACGTAATTCAAGTCTTGTCTACTCTTATTTGATTCTGTGTGATCTGTCGTGCTCTTTTACTTATGTGAGAATTGTTGATTCAATAGTTTCTGTTATGAAGAAATGCACAAAATACACAAAATTGTGTTGTGCAAGTCGATGTTTTGTATCATTGTAATCGTAAAATCATTTTTGACTTTACAAATGGTTTGTATAATAGATTAGTCAACATACAGATATATCTCGGAAATTTTCACATAATAGAGAACGTTTTTCTTCACAAAATATTTCAACAGAAAAAATATCGATGTCCAAGTTTTTCTGAAGCTATCACAAGATGAAAAATTAAATTTTTTTTCTATTATTCTCTACTATATACTTGTACATATATTTTCGATTCTCCGTTTTCTATATTGATATTGATAATATAGAAAATAATTTGATTGTATTTGGTTTTTTTTCTACATTGATAATATAGAAGGCTTGTTAGCGGAATCCCATGGAGGCTGAAATGTAGAACTCACATATGTTCTCTAGCCTCATTAAACTAATACAAAATACGTAAAGCGAAAAATCTCTTGTAGACTATACAGTAAAACCTCTCTAATGTGAACACCATTGGGACTTTTCAAAAGTGTTCACTACGCGGAGGTGTTCACTTTACAGAGGTGACGCACATTTTGCTGAGAAGTGAAGAAAAAATTCCGAATGTCTACTGCTGTATTAGTCTTCAGTCAAGCAAGAGCTATTTATTTTTTATTCATTTATTTTTATTTAAATGTTTTGTAGTTAAAAATTTTTAGATACAAGATAGGCTTTAGTTTTGTTTAAAAAAGTCTTCTAATGTCGTTTGTCTATTTGTTTTTGAACTGTTGTGAACATTAGTTAACTTTGATTTTAATTCATTATTTAATTCAACTTTCTGTTGCAAAGTAAGATCATGTTGTGGTGACATTTTTTTAATGAATATTTGACTGCGTTTATTAGAAAAACAGAAATTATATATAGGAGAGAGATAATTAGGTGAACTAGAAAAAAAGTAGAGAGTATTTTTCGTCTGTTTGGAAAATGAACAATAGGACGAATTGAGACAATGACCTTCTTATTCAGAACAGACGTTAGTTAGGAAAAGTAGGTCAGACGTACAAGACATATATGTAACAGCTGAACAGAAAAAACAAGAAGTGGAGCATTACCAGGGTTGCCAGCTGTGTCGCTACAATCAACGTGAACAATTCGGAATTCCGAATTGTTCACGTTGATTGTAGCGACACAGCTGGCAACCCTGAGCATTACATAACAGAGAGGAAAATAAACATGTACATATGTTCACATTAGAGAGATTATAGTAGCTAGAGGGGGTGGAAAAGAAGTGTTCATGTT